CTGCCCCCTGCTGCCTGTCGCATTATAGGGATGTCCCTGTCTAGACTATAAATAGATAAATTCATTATCAGTACACCTAGTAATGCAGACACTACCTGCCCATACAATATATTCCAGGACCATACATACTTCTTGCAAGAAGCTTCAAGAAAGAAGAGCCTCATGCTTCCCCAAAATGTAATGTGGCCAGCTGGGCTTCTATGCTTGTAGTTTCACCAGTAGTTATTAGAAGCAGCTCTAATATTGCTACAGATGTGGCCAAACACAGGCATACTTGCTATCCAGGTAGAAGAATCCTACATATGAGCAAAACAAAGAATGCCATTTACAAAGTGGGCATGAGCTCAAGATGGCCTTTGTACCTTGGTTGATTTGCTCCCCCCCCACACACCTCCATAATACCTGTATTCCTCCAGTGAGTAATATGATTTAAATCTGAAAAAAATACACCCAAGGCAAATTATTTTAAGTAAATGGAATAATATAAAATAATGTTCTTAATATAGCACTTAGAAATGGTAATTTTCCATCTCAAATATATTAAAATACAAATACCTTTTCCATCATCTCCTTAAGCCAGGTTTTCATAAACCTGAGTTAATGGAAAAAGCTTTTCCACGTTAGTTATTCTTATTCTGTTTAAAAATATTTTCATACGCAGTTTAATTTCTGCTGCTCAGTGATTTGAGTGATAAGTGCAGAGTCAAGCGCAGTTCACAATGAATCTGCATGTGACCCGGGGACCTACTGTCCTCCAAACTGACAGCACAGAAATGTTCAATTCCGTGTCATGCTCCAATGTCCAATGTGTAGCTCACAATACTACATTTACAGCTTTCGGCAATACAGCTGTCTTTTACTGTGTTTGAGATCTCTGAAGTGTTACAACCAAGTTGATTTTCACCACCGGAAAGACAACATTAAATATAAAAGTATGTAACACTTGCCAGGCAAATAAACACTTCATAATGGTATTATGAACACATCTTGAACCTGAACTCCAGGCAAGCAACTAAATACACAAATTAAATAGCTATATGACAGCTATTTTATTGTTTTTCACTTACAGGTTTCCCCATCTCCCCCCCCCCCCCTTTCCCAAACACAAACACACCTTCATCCCCGGGGACTGGCCAGT